GCTATGCCATCATCTCAACCAAGGATACTCCGACATCAACCATCGTCATCCCTGTCCCCTATTCATCCCTTTGTAATATCAAACCCTAGGTGAAAACCTATGTGTATTACTTTGATCATTCATACATACTTGCCATTATTTATCTTGTGATGCTTCTCATCTCTATGTCTAGGTAATACCCTTAGTTCTCAGGGATATGAAGGAACCCTAGTATGTTTAGGTGTTGTACGTCGATATGATTCGACATACTATTTCTATGTTTATGCTGATAATCTTCCCGATGTTGCGTGAAGTCGACCACTCAAATTTTTTCCTTAGGTGCGTGAAGGTCATTACCAGTGGTGCGATGGTGGATTTGCGGAGGTATTGCGGTGACAGAAGCTATCTTCTTCCTTTCATGTTTGTTTGATAGGGGATTGTGGGAGACCTTTAGTTGTGTCCATGGGGAAACCCATAATCACTGTTCTCTAACCTGTTGTGGGAAGGAACGGTGGTGGAGTATGTGATACGTGGTTGCAGTATGTATGCACATATCTGTACTTGGCTCTAACCAGTTATAAAAACATAGTTAGTGGCTTAGTTATCCAAATCTAGAACAATGCTCAACACATAGGTTATGTTAGTCAAATACTAGTGGGGAAACCGAACTCCCTAAGAATGCCTTAGCCCTATCGATTTCATAGTTACAACTTACCCTCTTATGCCCTTTTATTTAGTGTTTTACTTTACTTTCAGCCGCTAATCACTTGCAATATTTTCAAGCTTCGTTTACGCTTTTCCTTGGAGTGTCATTAACTTGCAGTCACATCTTTGTAAGCCTCTACAAGAGGCAAATACCATTTCTTGTGCTCCCTATGGGATCAATCTCTTGCTTTGAAAAAGCTATAACTATACTTTGTGCATATGCAGATCATTAATGATCAATCTAGCGAATGAGGGCGGTAACCTACCACATTGCCGCCCTAGCCACTTCCTTGATGGTGGAGGACTTTGCTTCAATGTGGATGCCTCCAAAACTTCATTATTGAAGAAAGTGCGCTCCAGGTCAAAGAAGAGATGGGCGCACGCTTTAAGTCTAACACCACAAGGCCTTCTTTTTCTCCAAATGAAGTCCTTGATGTCGATGGGGATAACAAAATGTTTTCGCATCCCAAGCCAACCACCACTCCATTCTACAATATCGCAAAGCATTCCTATGCACCTCAACCCACCCCTTGTCCACATATTAATTCTCATGGTTCACTGCCTCCTTTGAATACTAAAGACTTTGCTAAGTGGAATCTCGGTATGGAGTTTCACATTTGCGGTGCCTCGATGCAACTTTGGTGGGTGACCATAAATGGTTGCAAGCCTAAGGACCCGGCAAGTCTTACTCCAAGGGAATTCGGATGACTAACTTAATGGCACCGCACTCAACACTTCATCCGTGACTGGTGAGTATCGAGACTCCAGTGCTCTCCTCAAGACCTCAAAGGAGACTTGGGATTGCCTTGATGACATGTTCCAAGGTGAAGTTCATATTTATCTCGCAAAAAAAGGTGAAGTTCATATTCAAAGATCTAGGTTGGATTTGCTAAAGTAAGAGGCCAATTTGATTGTGAAGAGTGATGGTGAGACCACCAAAGAGGTATATTGAAGGTTGAAGACTCTTGTTTTCGATTTGAGGAACTTTGGGTGTACTTGAGTGGTTGATCTTTTTTTTCATTGACAAGTTTCTCGGGGCCATGGTTTTGGTCGATAATAGTATGTTCATGTTCATTCATCAACGACCGGACTTTGAAACCATTTCTCCCAATGAAGTAGTGGCAACCTTCGCCACCCATTATCCGTTGAAGGTTAAGTTAAACCAAGCCATTGCAATTGCTCGCAGGACCAAGAGCACAAATCTCGCTTTGATGGCCTAGAAGGTGCTTGTGCATGCACTAAGATAAGAAGAAGAACGTCCTAAAGAAGAATGTGATGGTGGTACTTGCCCGATAACTGACTTTGAGGAAGACTTAACTCTCTTGATCAAGAAATATGTGTGCACCATGCAAACGAATGGAAGAATCTCAAGGACAAGTCCTTTGTAAGAAATGCTGCAATTGTGATAGTCCACAACACTATGTTGTGGATTGACCCTATGAATGAAGAGAAGACAAGATCGAGAAGCTCGTTCTCAAGAAGTTCTCCAAGTTCACCAAGAGCAAGGATGACAAGACAGTTGTTCATGAGGAGTACAGGTTTGACGACGAGGAGACCAGCGATGGGGATAATGTGGGTACAACTGCCATTATTGTGCAATCCACTTCCTCCCCCTCTACCGCCAGCCTCTTCGACACCCCCAATGAGAATAAGCCCATCACTTATCGGTGCCTCATGGCTAAAGAGGTACTAGCAAAGTCCTCCTCTAACCCACCCCATTTCAGTCTCAAATCTTCTACTACTTTGTATGCTTCATGTAACGACGATATGGAGGATGAATGTGAAGGTCGTGTGAATGATGATGAGGATGCCTCGTTGACCTTTATCAAAACTCTTCGGGTGAGGCTCTTGCTCGTTTTAGCATTCTCTTGAAGTTACTTGTCGAACAGGATGAGTACATTGAGAATGTTGAAAACCTCCTTATAGAGGAAAAAGAGATAATGAAGTCCTCGAGCAACAGACCACATGTTGCAACGCAGCATCGCTAGCAAGCCGTGGCAGCGTGTCTGTAACTGGCCATCCGTTGCAACGTAGCATCGCCGCCAACGTGCCATCAACGTCCTTGTAGTCTCGCATGTAGCAAAGCGAGGTGAACAGTGGACATGGATGCGGCATCAGAGTCTAGGTTGCAGCTAGGTGTTGCCCCAGGAAGCCGCTTGCAATGGCAATGCCAATTTGCAACATGGATGTTGTTGTGCTTGCAACACTGCCACCCCCTTTCTTGTTGCATCTGGTGCTTACTCCCTTACAGCAGCGGTGACATCCTGGCCGCGAGCTATGGGAGCTGGTGATGGGCGGCAGGGAGATACAAGAGGGAAGAGGAGGGATGCGAGGGTGCCCGAGGAAAAAGAAATAAACATATGGATGTGATCGCGAGAAGACAAGGCCGTAATCAGCCGATTGTTTCTGAACATTCCCTAAGAAATGCTATTTGGGCAGACATTAACCTGAATGCTTAATCTACCCAATATTCCCGGTGAGTGGTGGAAAGTACCTGCAGACTGTAGAGTAACATTCAAATTGTGGGTTTAGCTGCAATATGTTGGGCTCTTTGGAACAAGGAACGTTTTGAACATAAGTTGATTAGATCTCCCACTGAGTTAACCTGTTATGCATGTTTCCTTTATTTATTTGGGAAGTTTGCAAGGTGAAGCTGTCACGGATTTGAGGGGCTGCTCATCTACAAGCTGAAGCTCTGCGACATCAGCAAGCGATCGGGAGGAGCCGAGGAGGCAAGTAACGAGCTGCGGACGGATTCTAGCTTTGGGGGGCAAGGATGAAGATGTTAATACTAACTTGTTACTCAATCTGACGTTACACGTTCTGAGAGCTAGGTACAGTACAGAATACAATTACATCGAGATTAACCAAAACATATTCTTCAACTTGTAAAAGAAAAAAGCAGGTATCACAGAAGATTGCACCAAAACCCGTACTGAAATTGTTGTCGCGTGGATGAAAACCAAACTTGTAAGATGAGTTCTCGTGCATGATCATTCTAGCTGCTAAGAACTTACCCAGTTTGTGCAACCCATTCTCTATTGAGGGGTTCTAGAAGAACCAGCGCCCCCAAGTTCGATGTGGCAAGGTTCACATGCCATGATGGCCAGCCATGCTTGCCATAAAGAGATTAGGACTGAAAGACCTAGATAATGATGTCACAGAGACCCATAATATAAGCCACTCGGGTCTTAATCATTTGCCTAGTCAATCTTATGACAAAACTGATCTTATTGCGAGAACGACATGCATTTGGTTAGCGAAATAGATAGATTCTTTAGAAAGAGCAAACTCGCATCTTAATTTATTTGTCTCCGGTCATTCGCTCTTAGTCAATCCTGACAAGGACTGCGGCCATACTCCGGTTTCGAAAGTTGAAAGCTGAGGAGCAGAGGTCCTGGTAATCTCATCATGTGGCTTAGACACGGAATCATAAACTCCCGCGTTAACGCTCCCATTTTGACATGAAATCTCCGAGCTGACTCAATAGTATCTCGAGAAGAAAAGGCACGTGGTTTCAGTGGTCTGAAGAAGAAGAGAAAAAAATACGCGTGGTTTGAGCCTCCTATGATACGCAAGACATTAATCTCCTCCAACTGCCCCTTGGCCAGCGGCACAGACGCCGATCGATCGCCCGAGGAAGATACAGTACATGGACATATGGACTCTTCTCAAGAGAAACGATGGATGTGCATTGACGCAGTTAAGTAGTCCCTGGCACACTGTCCGCGGAATTAAAGCCTTCCCATGCACCAGACTATCTCAAGAAACTCCGACGGCTACTACTACCTATCATCCCAGCACGTACGGTCGTAAGGTTCATGAGATGAATGGTACGCCACGCGACGCCACACGAGAGCACGTCGCCTGCGTTTACATGAATGATGAACCGGCCGCCCCTCACCAGCATGTGGAGAAAAATGTTGGGCCGGCTAATTTATCATGTGCACAGGCCCGAGACTGTAGATTTGCCGGTCTCCGCTTCTCAGGGTCTCTGAATAGTGGATGCGGAGATACAGACCACTGCACAATCGATCTCGGAGCTCAACTGGATCGGAAAGAGAGACGTGAGATCTGATGTGAAAGAGGAATGGCAGGCAGGCTGCGCCCTCAGTTACGGGGACCCCCATTGACCAAGTGCCACGCGTGCAGCCGGCACGGCCTGAGCCGGACGAGCGCCGACGCGTGCAGCCTGCGCGCCTGCCACCGCGCACTGCCGCGCCACTGTACTGTACATCGCGAAATTATACTGGTCGGGCCGTCGTTTCCGCGGAAACAGGGCGCGCTTCCTCGCCATCTATATAGCCCGCCACGCACAGCCAAGCGAGGCACTCTCATAGTAGTTCCCATCGTCGATCTCCACTTCTCCAGGAGCCGAACGAAACGACATGGTGGCTACGATCGAGGACCTGCACGCGGACGTGCTGGCCTGCGCGCTGCGCCGCCTGGACGGCCGGTCGCTGGCCGCCGCGAGCTGCGCGACGGCCGGGCTCCGCGCGCTCGCCGCGGACCCGGACACGTGGCGCGCGCTCTGCCTCGCCGAGTGGCCGTCCCTCGCGGCCCAGCACGGGCTCCTCTCCGCGGTGCCGCCGCGCCGCCTCTTCGCCGACGCGTCCCCTTTCCCGTGCCCGGACGCTGGGGAGCTCGGCGCTGGCGGGCTCCCCACGAGGCTCGTCTCCGCGGTGGACGTGTACTACAGGGGCGCGCCCGTGCTGTCCCGCGTGGTGGAGACGCCCGCGTCGTCGCCGTGGTTCCTCAGCTCGCCGTTCCGCGTCGAGGCCGTGGACTGCAAGAAACCGGCGCCGGTGGCAGCGGCGTTCTCTCCGGCGGAGCTCGAGCTGAGCTGGGTGGTCGTAGACCCCGCCCGCGGCCGGGCGGTGAACGTGTCGAGCAGGCGGGCGGTGGCCCTGGGCCGGCACTGGTACACCGGCGAGATGCTGGTGCGATTCGCGGTGGTGCTGGGCGGGTGCAACTTCGAGACCACCGTGGCCTGCTCCGAGGAGGCCGGACACGTCAGCGAGGTCAGCCTCGCCGTGGAGAACGCCGACGGCGCCGCTGTGAGCGGCGAGGGCGCCCTCCGGCTCCTCGCCGCGGCAATGGAGGGGCGGAGGAGGGGAGGCGAGAGAGAGCGGGAGGAGGCCAAGGCGAGGTACGAGGTGTTCGTCAAGAACAAGAAGGGGAGGAAGGAGAGCAAGGCGCGAAGAGAGGTGCTCGTTGACCTGTGCTGCTCCGCCGCCAGCGCCGTCGCCGTGCTGGCCTTCTTCGCCACCGTCGTGCTCCGGTGACAGGTCCTTTTTGCCACCGACGGGCGGATCCAGGCAGCAATGAGTTCATTCATGCATGATGTAGGTGCACAGTAGGCATCATGCGGGAAATGAATTGTTTTGTGTAAGATTCCTATATGGTATTTCTGCGCTCCAAGTAAGACAGCATCAAGCAAGAACTAACGTGTATTTACATCTTCTCCCTGGCAGCTAGAGTGTTACATCCATTCTAGTGACAAAGTTTTCCTCCTAATAAATTTAGGTGAAAATGACAGAGAAGTGGAGAGACAGAAAAATCTGCCAATGCGTTCACAAATTCGTACCATCAAGCAATGTGACATTCAAATGACACAGTTCTCCTTAGGTATGGGGGCAAAGTTTCTACCATTGAGTACATTGGCAGCCACAGTACGCAAGTACGATCAAAATCTACTGTTCCCCACCTACAGCAATTAATGAAGTTTATTTAAAGTACTCCTGCTAAGTAGGAACAGCAAAGCATTGGCTCCAGGGAGCCATGGGGAAAACATTGTTCTAGCACAGGATTGTATCAGACACCTGTCGATGTCGACGAGGTTAAAGAACAGCAACATTATCTGATATGCTCTTCGATGTGTTGTTCTTGCAGACCATAAAATTCAGCACAATATTACGCGTCGATTACATTAGAAAAATATATGTTCTTGCAAAACATAAAATTCAGCATAATTACACACAGGCTTTTCTCTAACAGCGTCGCAATCTACCTTATTTATATTATCATCAACACAACACGCATTTTCAGGTGTTGCCGACTGGCTTAGGAGGGCCTCTTGCTATTGGAACTACGTCTGCAGCACGGTCCTGTTTGGCCTTTGCAATGTCGACATATATAACTCGCCCATTCAGTACCTGTTGCAAGCTTGCATTGCTCAGGTCTTCTTTTTTTTCAAATGGAGCGGCAAAAATACAGATTACTAATATACTGAACTAGCGACAGCACTATATTGATAAAGGCACAGCTCCTGCTAGTTCTTCAAAAGAAGTAAAGAAAAGAAAAACTTGCCTTGCCGTTCATCTCTTCCCGTGCTTTATTGGCTTCTTCCTCGGAGGCAAATTTCACAAAGCCGAATCCTTTTGATCGGCTGGTCATCTTATCCGTGACAATGGTTGCTGAGCTCGAATAATAACAAGTTGCAACTTAGATCGCAACAACAAGCAAAACAACTAGCAGCGGAAGTTTGTTCTGGCAAGGGATGAGGATAAACCTTCTAATACTTGGCCATAACGCGTGAAAGCTTCTGCTAGGCTGTCTTCCGTTGCAAATTGTGACAAGCCTGTAAAACGATTAAAAAACCAAGACCGTGTCAGAGAGGCAGTCCCTAAATTGCATATAACAACTGTATCCAACTTGAACAGAGCCCAACGATTCTCAAATATGTAGGTTCTTTGATCCAGTAATAATTTTCAGCTTGGATGGAGTGAGAGAAAAATATTTTTTACACCAATCAACTGAGAAATATATTAGTGCTAAAACCCAGAGTACTTGCAAGAAGAACATGAAATGAACTGAAATTAGTATGTTAAGTGTTAACCCATGATAGTTCATTGTAAATCAGAAGCAACTAACAAAAGCTTATATATTGTAATAAAATCTAGTCATAATGATAGGAAAATTTTGAAGTTACAATAGTAAATTTGACCTTTTAGTTAAATTTACTTCGGCTCTTTTAGTTAAGTTAAGTAATGTATAACAAATGCTAGTTTGAATTACTTCAGCTCTTTAAGTTAAATTTACCCGTTTTTGGAAAGATAGTAAACCTCCTATTAATCAAATTTACCTAAGTAACCTGATCACTCATGTGGCATTTATAATGGAGCAAGAGGTATTCCATAGTTTTGGTTATAAAAGCACAAGTAACCACAAGAGCGTAAGCCCCCTACATGGCAGGTCCTACTCACTATTGGCATATTGGAGCAGGCATTTTACGAGTAAAAAAGGAAGATACAGAACATTCAGTTACCCATATTGACTTGATAAACAAAATGTCTGCTAAAAGATGGGCCCCATCTCCTAAACTTATTCCCGAGAGCACTAGTTGGCACTTAATAGCAAAACAAAATGAGTAACCACGTATGGCCAAGCATCTATTGAAGACCACCACAGGTAAAACACAAGCAGCAGCACTGGCAAATAGCACGATTTTAATTTGTCGAACAAAGCATGAAACTGCCGCCTACACGAGCATTTCGTCGAACACTTGCTATGCATGCGTCCACGGAGCCACGGGCGCATTCACACGCTTCTTGTAACCACTGCACGCGTGAGAGTCGACGGAGAACAGCGGGTTGAACTGAGACTGGCCGGAGATGAGACGTAAGGGGAGGATGTGCGGTGCGCGTCAGGAAACGGGAGTGGAGGGGTGAAGACTTTAACCTCCGATGAAGAGCTTGTGTGTGATGCCGCGAGAGTGCGTGAGGAGCAGCGGGCGCGTGGCGGCGCCGGCGAGGACCCGCGTGGAGGTGAAGGCCAGGCGGCGGGAGGCCTCACGCAGCGCCGCCATGGCCATGGCTCTGCCCTCTTTCCTTTCCTTGGGGAAGCGGGGTGAGTCGGCTGGGGGGACGGAGCCGGGAGAAGCGGGCGGCCAGTTCGTCGCTAGGTCTTAAGAGAACTGGGAGCTGTCGCGGGGCAGAAATCGCACATCCAGTTTTAAAAAACATCAGCTTCTCATGGAAATAGGGATCGGAATACTCTAATTCGCACTTTTGCTGCAGAGAAAGTAGAGAACTCAAAATAGACCTGGAGAACAGGCCTCTTCGGTTCAAAAAGTTTTCATATAAAATTTGATTGCATCTCAAAAAATAGATTGTGAGGTCATTTTGAAGTACCTTTTATAGAATATTCTCCATTGACTTAACTTGCTGAAGTATTACTTTGTATATTATCAATACAAAGTTTTGTTCCTTTGCTCAATAGGGATGCAGGCGGACGGAGTCCATAGGACAAAAACACACTAAACTTTGTTACTTATAATAATGCTAGGCTTAATTTTCATATTGTGGACGTGAGATAACGCCGTGTCCGCCTGCATGCCTTTTGCTCCTTGGTCTTTAGCCCTAAAAATCAGCCCTCTGGACTAATGCCGTTTCAAGGCAGCTAGACTAGATTCTGCAATGAGAATCTGGTTCTATCACCGCAGGGGGGGATCAGCAAGTATGCCTGTAAGGCTGTAACTGCGATTACACCCAATGATCCCAACCGCAGCTAAAACTGTGCAATAGTCAACTAGTGACGGACATCTACAGTTTAAACGAGAGGCATGTTTCAACATAAATAAGCCAACAACCGCATATAAATGAAAAGAGAAAACATTTAGCAGAACATCACATCCACGGCAAACAGACCTTGATAAACAGCAACCAACAGAGATCCAGATCAACAAACTCTGAAACAACGTCAAAATCCCAGCACCTTGTATAATGTAAGATAATCCAAAACTCCAGCATGGTACTCAAAACCAAGAGGCAGGTACAATGTGCATATATGTCTCTCTCGCGATACTACTGTTTAATGCCGAGCAAGTTCATTTGGAAGCATGAAGACAGCACTATAGGGGGCCTAGGGTCGATTACACTCATTCATCGTCGTCCTCATCATCATCAGCACCAGCAGATGAGTTGAGGGCGTTGAGCCGCTCTACAAGATTGGCTTTCCTCTGCTCATAGGTCAGCTTCTTGGGATTGTACCTGCAGCGAACAGTCACGTTAATTTGCAATCCAGTCAAAGTGCAGAAATCAGTTGTCTGGCTTTAATAAACAGCAGGATATATCTACCTCTTGTGCGTCTTTGGAGGTTCCTTGGTTGACTTTGCCATGGTAGGATCAGCACGAATGGCAGCATGAACCTTCTTGTACAGTGATTCCATGTTATCAGCCTCAATCCCCTTCTTGATGTACTCACTGAAGTGAGATTGGTACTTCTCAGGTTCCTCGTCAGCCAGTGACTGAAATAAGGGCAAGGCAGAAGTTAAAACGAGATTCAGTAAGCTGCTTCAGAAATGATAACAAAGTACACGGCTTTAGGATACTTTATATGGGTTAATCAGGCAAGATATCTTCAGAAAGAATTCATGTATACAACAACAATAGCACTAGGGAATGAAGAAATGGCATTATAATACCACGAGGGCAATGGATTCAACTCACCTTCATGTAGTCAGCAACATGCCCTCCATAGATGTATTTGCGGTGAATCTCAGCGTCCAGCTGCTTCTCGTCCTTCTTGAAGCCAGCAAATCTCTTGTCACTGTGCGGAATATCAAGACCACCATCCAAAGCTCCCTGCAGCAACAATCAGAATCACACAACTGTTACGCAGCAATCAGAGTTGCACCACGTATTGAAGTGTTCGAAAAGGTTTTTGTCATTAACAAGTGGTCGTTAAAAACACATGTTAATATCCTGAGGACAAACTACTAATATTATAATATGGACATATAGTGGGTCACACTATACCTGGGTATAGGTTAACCCTAGGCCACAAGAATTATCATTTCGCGAAGTTAAATAGCATATAGTTATGTTGTAGATCAGGTAGAAACCTGACCAAATAAAATGAACTACATAAACTCAGAGTGTAAAAGTGACAAAAGTCTTTCTAAATAACCCGACACAAATTTTATGCCTGGGACATTCAAGTCAAAAACCTGTGTACTGGCAAAACTAAGTGCAACCAACCATTCATAATTTCTTGCAGTTATACAATAACATCACAAAAGATCACATACCTTGAGGGCACCAAACACACGGTTTCCAGTAGTGGTCCTAATAAGGCCAACATCCAAGAGCGCGCGGAAAGGCCTCCTCTCATCAGCCGGCTCAACAGAGAAGTCCTCCCCAGTGGCCTGGACTCGTAAGCAGAATTACAAGTGTTTAATAAAGACAGCATCAGAGGAAGTTCATATGAAAGTAAACCTTTCAAAGCGAATTATACCTCAACATTGCCCTCATATTCCTGATCCAAATCACGGCACTTGAGCACA